GATTTTAAAACCTTGACCGGCTGCCGGTCATTTAGCCACCTCATTTTCTGCATAGGTCTCTATGTCAGTCTTATTCCTATCCCCGCATTTCAGCGAGTTGACTGCCCCTTATCTCGCGGAGCTTTTATAATGCAACGCGCTAGGTGACGCAGTTTGTTGAAAGAAGTGAGCTGTGACGAAGCCCAGCTAAGATGTTAGCTGCCTCAACAGTTTAGGCTCGATTACCAGCCACTGTTTGAGAAACGTCCAACCGTCTTATCAGGGAGGAATGTAGAACGGACTCGAGTGAACGGCGGAAATCGAGCCTACCAGAGTTCAGACCCATACGAAACAGGCGAAGAAGGAAGACAAATTAAAAGATAACTATCATCATGATCATCAATATAATAACTGAATATAAAACAATGCAAAAGTTCAATGAAGGAAAAATCGAACTTTAATTCGCCCTTACCTTGGACTTGCCATTCCCGCTGGCCTGTTCGCTTGAAGACGAGCCGATGTTAAGTTCCTTGAGCAGTGAGTTAAACTGTTGTGAGTTCATGGAATTGTTTGAGCCAAATTCGTCGAAGAGGCTCCAGATAAACGTTTGCGGCGCAGATAAATTTACGCTTACGGCGTGACATTCCCCGGCCTGAATAATCGCAGAAAGAGCAAGAAAAGCTAAAAACTGGTAAACAGCCTTAGTTGATGCCATTACGATTTTGTTTTTCATTTGAAGGCCACCAAATCTCAGAGAGAACACAGCACGCGCTAACGTGACTTGATTCCCAAATGGCTACGGGCGTGATTATGCCACGTTTTAGCGCATTATAATCGAGTTGACTGATTCACAATATTCTTTGAGCCCCAGTGGGAGCTCATGTATATATATAGACCCCATGTATTTACATAATGTTTGGGAGAATTTGTTGAGGTAGGCTAGGTCTTAAATTTTAATTACCTTGCCATGCAGATCACATGAATGAAATCTGTTGCTTTTTTTGAGTTTTTTCGCCGGGAAGTGCAAGGAAGGGATTGAGAGCCAGAAAGATTTCTTTTTCTCTCTCCCCCCCCCCCCCCCCCGCTCCCAGTTCCATGACTGCCCAGCGAGACCAATCAAATCATGACGGTACGGTCACGACTGTTCATAAATTTGCATTAATTCTTAATGACAATTTTATAACTAAGTTTCGTTCAGTAATCGTATGAATGCGAGCTTGTGTAATAAGGATTTACACTACCAGTTACATTTGAAAATTCAAGACGAACCCCTCCGTGACAAGTTGATTACAAGTGGAGAGGAAATGAACAAGACGAGAAAGAGGTCGAGGATTGTTATCACTGTTGATAACATTGGCGACACAACGGGTAACGAATGAAAGGGTAACGATATATCGGCTCATTCTCTGTCAGAGTAACAGTCTTGTAAATGGCCAGCTTATCTATCAAGGGTAATTAAGTGTATGAAAAAGTAACGTAACATGATGTAATAAAAGAAAAAGGTTCTCTTGAAGGTAGCCTCAAGCTATGCTAATTACGGCCTGTCATTACGGTTAATGACCTCAAAGTTATTGTGAACAGCTTTGAAACTGTGGTCTTTAAGATTGACAACTGTAAACCTTTCTTAGCTCAAAACCAGTCTGGTTATTTAGGATAAAACCCGAACGTCTTTCATGTTGACTTGCATGACTCGGTGCTTTAGCTCGCCCGGCACTTTTAGGGCTATCGCTTTTCTGCATTTTGTGATGGGTTTATGAAGTGGACTATGACCTCCTTATTCTTATTGTTACTTGTTTCGCGTGAATGAAGCTGTTTCGTCAACAAAAAGAAAAAAAAACAAACAAACAAACAAAAAAAAGCAGTAGCGGAGTAGCAGAGAAAAGAATAATTCATTTATACCGAATCGTGCCACTCCCGAGCGCTTCCATCGCATCAGTCAGGCGAGTTCGGCAAAGTCAGACTCAAGTCACGCTTCGAGCAGACAAGCTCTGCAGGCCTCGGTCTAGCGCTCCATATAAATGACACGTATGGATCATTGAACGAGCTTGAGGTCAGGATCCCGGGGGGGGGGCATAACTCCCATATAAATAGGACGGTGGTACTTGTTGAAAATTTGCAAAATAAGAACCGCTTAGAGGTACCGAGATCCTGTTTTGTTAGCATGGCTTGAAATTTTTTCACCCCAAAGTGGTACCAATTCTAAAACAAGACATTAACTGACACTTTCATAATTTTTGATAGCGATAAATACGACTGCTTCGAATTGCTGGTTTTCAGTGTCACGCAATTCAAAATAGATCAAAATAAAAATCAAAACCGGTCAATAGAT